AAAAAAATGGTCCCCGGCATGCTCATTCTCAGTAGCTCATTCGTGATACGAGTCTGCTTCGGGAGCTGTACTTAGTGGTGAGTCATCCAGTGAACTAACCTTTCAAGAAATGTGATAACATGTGGGGACTAGGCCCATGCTGCATAAAATAACGGTCCTTCATGTTGGAACCTTTTACCCAGTCGTCACTGGCTGGTCCACACAATCGAGTTCTCTTAAGCATACAAAGTTGGTTGCCAAAGTCGAATTACTCTAGGTACATTGACGGAAATGCTGGATAAAAAAGCATGGGATTTAGATCGGAATCAATTTCTCGGGCGTGTTACTTTTGCAGTTGCTTGGAAATGAAGTATCCTATCAGGTAAAAAAAATGACCCCCGGCATGCTTATTCTCGGTGGCTCATTCACGATACGAGTCTGCTTCGGGAGCAGTACTTAGTCGTGAGTTCTGCGGTGAACTAACCTTTCAAGAAATCAAGTGTGTCACAATGGCTGGAAACATCACAAATGAGAGATTCAGCTGGGTCCCGGGTGAGTCTCTCGCAAGACCAAATTTGTTTGAAAACGAGTGTATTTCGCTAATTTCGTGCAATCTGGTTTCCAGTAGAACATGAAGTTGACAGAAACCCGGGAACTGCGCCTACCTGATGAGCTCCAAGAAGGGCGAAACCGGTCGTGGGCTGTTGACCAATTTTCAGCAACCTTATGAGTAGTGCATTACGGGTAGTGCTGTTTCTCGTTATATCCGCCTGTTTTCCCCTTGTTTTTCGATACAGAGTTGCTTGGATGAAAAGTTCAAGGCCTTGTCTCCCCCACTAACTTCCAAAGAATTGGATTTCCTCCAAGTGAGTTTCTCTTCCATGAGATTTATGAGCGTAGTTTGCGCAGAGGTGTGCTAGAGACTGGACACGCAATGTTGAACATGCTGTTTTAATTTTCGTGTTCATCTTAGTTCTCATACAGCAAAGACTCCTAGTACTTCAGAGGAAGTTTATTTGTTCGCTGAGTTCGGCAGCGTCAGTGGCATTGAGCAGTAGTGTGGTTCTGTTCACCAAGGACAACCTTCGACTACAGCTAGTCATTTTGACGCCGAGTCTTGGTGGTCGACCTAGGTTCTGATTAACCAACAACCAGACTACTACCTTATAGTTTGATCTATTTGACAAGCACCCTGCAGCTTTTCTCGGAAGTTTATTTGTTTGCTGAGTTCGGCAGCGTCAGTGGCATTGAGCAGTAGTGTGGTTCTGTTCACCAAGGACAACCTTCGACTACAGCTAGTCATTTTGACGCCGAGTCTTGGTGGTCGACCTAGGTTCTGATTAACCAACAACCAGACTACTACCTTAGAGTTTGACCTATTTGACATTTGGTTCCACAATTGTCCCTGCTAGCCTCTTCAGTCGATCGGTTTCTCTAGACTTCTTCAACTGAGTTGGCGGGTGATATGTAGTGAAATAACGCTTAGTATGTCAGCTGATCGATTGTGATAAAAAGATTCAGTGAAAATCGGAGCGTCTCTGATGAACAACAAACGTGGCAAACACGTCTTCTGATCTGACTACTCGTAATTTTTTTAAAAAAAACTATACTGTTTTCGGTTTCTGTGTACAGTGTTGCCTAACAATGGACCCGACCGAACGATCCAATGCTGAGATGTTACTCAAGCATCCACACATGGAATTCCACGGAAAGCACTTCCAGTACACTTCAATCGAACTGCGACAAGTCCCTGGAGCCAGTGGTGACGGCCACCTGACGCCCACCAACACCACGAAGAAGAAGGATAAAGGGACCCCAACAGGACATTTCAAATCAATGCTCACTGGGCAAGGAGTGATATCAAACATGCGCAAAAAGTCACAATCACAACCATTATCGGTTGCCATCCCACAGACGTCCCAGGCAACTGTACCGACTTCCGAAGGATATGTTCGTCATTCGACCAACACAACTCCACAGCTGCTTGATCCCAGTGCGTCCCCCTCCCAAGCGGGAGGAAACAATTCTCCAGCTACTCGTCAGCCTTGGTTCACTACTGGTATTGTGGGTCAGGGCTACTATAGCGTAAGTTTCATCTGTTGATCGTTTTGGGCTCAAAATGATGCCAACATTGCCTTTAACTGAGTTTGAATCATAATTCTCGATTTGTAGAGAGATTATCTGCAACGCTACTACTGCATATTTCGGTGATTGTATCAATACCCGCACCGTCTTAAGGCAAACACTGAGGAGACGGCGAAATCGTTTGTTCTGAAGGCCAATCCTATGAGAATTGTGTTCTGAGCGGATAACGGCCTAGAGATATTTTGGCTTCTCTGATCCTTGAAAAGACGAGTTTTTTTACGTGTACAATCAGGTTCTCAAATGGGTTGGCCTTTCTGGTGTTTGTTCACGCAAGTTGCTTGATATGGCACGAAAAGAGCAGTACCACAGAAATCAAAGATTCGGACGAAACGATACGTAATGTTGAGCTATATTTGTGTCTTCCCGGGCGTTAAGTTGTTCCCCATTATCACCAGTAACAAATGGGGATAAATGGGATCTTGGAAAAGCGATCACATTGTAGAACAGCTTCTCTATAGATATTCTAGGCTGTGATATGTTTGAAATCCATGCTGCGTTGACATTGGCGGTCAGATTGAGGTAGGAATTACAAAGCCCGGGATTTCGACGCAGACCAAAAGAGACAAATGAAAGTTGGAGCCATCTATACCTAATTAATCGTTTTAAAGTTCACAATCATGTAATAGCATGCATGCACAGAATTCCATTTGTCTAACGAACCGCCTTTTAACGAATCCATTTCTAACACGGTCTGGTGAGTGTTCACATCCGTAGCAGAATACAGTGCTATACGACTACCTCACAAGTACGACTGGATTCGCCTGACTTATTGGATGTCACAATCGAAGTTAAGTATTGCTATAACGTACATTCGAGCTGCAAAAGGACGGCCTTTTTAACGCCCCGTGTCTGTTTCGCTACTTCTGGGCCTTCTGGCATGGAAGTCTGGAAGACCGTTGATCCGCAGATGGCCAGCAACTTGCTTCTTGTTCGACCTTCGTTTAAACTAACGCCCTGAAATGCACACACTAGCCTCTGGTATGGTTTTCCATAAATTGACTAGGTGCCTCGAAAAAGCAGCTGAAGGATTTGGGCGATACTTGCTGCGCTTCAATAGGTTATATTATATACATAATATTATATTATATATTATACTATATTACATTTTCTATCGAGGAAAATGTTGGTAGCTCAGGTAGCGTGGATGGTCGTTGGCTTGTTCGCTGAGCTGGGTAATTCGATTGCAAACGTTTCATCACCAATCGAGGTGACAACATCAGTGCGTTGTTAGGCAGCGTAGTGGTGGGTTAGTGGTTGTGCATTGAGTAGTGTTGCGTGTGTTGTGTGACCTTTGATCGTGATTAGTTGTTCAGTCGGGCGGTCCCATTGGTTGCTCCGTTATCCTGTGTCCTCATTCGCCGATGTCCACGTGACCTTTGAGCTTGGCATCCCCTGCTTTCGTTATCTGGTCGATGCTGGATTGACCTTTGACCTTCCGAGCCCCCAATAACGCACTGATGATTTCACCTCGATTGTAATCAAATTGCCCAGCTCAGCGAACAAGCCAAGAACCATGAATAACTTGAAGAAAGGAGTGTCATGATCCGTAGGCAAGCCTGGGTAATTGAGATAAGCATAGGATCCAGCATAGCGAGGGCGATATTCAGATGTTTTAAACAGAATTCACTGTATTTCCTAGGGATTTTACGGAAAGCTCCCAGTAACATCTAGAACTCGTACGCTTCAGCTTTATATGCGCTCAAAACAATTACTTCCAAGCTTTATCGAATGGTCTGAAAATCACTCATGTTTTGTTTGACGAGTTTCGCGACCGAACCAGAAGACCCTAGGCTGGACCCAAACACATGTAGGTTCCCCCACCAACCCAACACTTGTTCACTCACCCTTGCACACAAAAATCCCTCGGCCGACACCCAACAGAGATTTAGCTTGCCTCAGCTGATTGGTTCTCCTTCCGTCTTAAATCTCGACCAACCTCGGAACCTAGTCACTTGGCCTGACGAAGCTTTTGTGTCAAAAGCGAAATGCTGCCCAGCAATACATTTACCGATTGTTGCCAAACTTTTTTCGAACAAGAGGAAATGGTTTCTAGTGCGGCGTAGCATTCCCCGAGCCACCCACTTTTTTGTCACTGTTCAAGGTTGTAGTGATGTCATCGTGCTAGAAGCCTGCATAATCTCCCACACCGGATCAGCAGTTTCATGTTGTAATTTTGAACAAGTCGGAAGACATCAGCTCATTTGGTCTCGTTAAAGATGAGGGACGCGTTTCATATCAGTAATGAGACTACTTTTTTGTAAGAGCCATGTACGGTCTTGGAGGAGCGGATTCTGTTACAGACTCAATGGGAGAGAGTAACAACGCCGTGGAGGGACAGGCGTCCTACAGGAGTAGACTGTGCAAAGCTCTGCGGGCGCAGAAGAGGAAACACATTCCAACTTGTCCACACTTTACGTCCCAACCCACTCCGCTACTGTATACTGATCCCCAGTATGTTACGATCCGGCAGGATTTCCTCACCTCTTTAAGATAGTTGTATCATTACAGCTGACAACCACCCGCGGTAAGCTTGTTTATACAACTTCCGACACTGGTTATTCTTCACGGTGTTGTGCCCTGGTCGTCATGACTACGAGATGCAATGCGTTGTTCACGTGACCCTGAAGCATCGTCTTTCTAGGCAAATTAGTTAGTTACACAAGTAGAAAACCGGATCAGTTTGTCAGCTCCGTTGTTGCAACCGGAACCAAAGTGAGAGAAACCAGTGAAACGGCAAATATGTGCGTGTTTGTTGACCATTACAAAAAAGTCACTGATTAGTTGCCAAGGCAATTACAGAGCTTGATGCATGTTGTCACAGTGGTAGGTGTGATTGTTTATCTAAACATTGACCCGTTAGTTTAAAGCAAACTGTGCAAACTGAACTGGATCATAAAGGAAACTACTCACAAGGTTGCTGAAAACTCTTCGACCGCCCACGACCGGTTTCACCCTTCTTGGGGCTCACCAGGTAGGCGCATTCCCCGAGTTTGCGTCAACCTCATGTTCTACTTGAACTGGATCATCTCATGCTACAATGGAGCACATTTAGGCAAGCCAGTTTCGGTGAGTCCTATTGTACGAGCCTGAATGGTAAGCGGGTACTAAACTAGACAAGAGCCGGGTGCATGGCCGAATGCGCGACTGTGTTTGAAAGTGAACCATGGTATCAAACAACAAGGTGGACCAAGAGGTCGTCATTTACAGGGCTCGTGCAGGCTTGCCTGACCAGTTAGCAGATATACAACTGGTCGCTAGTGCAAGTTTGTGGACTTGCTTGCCCTTCAGAACAACTCCAGTATGCCGCACAGGAGTACAACGTGCCAAACCGTGTGAGAATCCGTCTGGGTACCCAGCACCCAAATGTAAGTGCGAGCTAATGAGGTCGCAGAATGCACATAACTGGACAGGTTTGATATCACCAGACCACCTGGCGGCCAAAAACTATCGAATCTTGTGGAGGCGAGCAAAAGCTGAAACCTACAGTGCAATCGAGGGAGGGCTCATGAGGCACCTGACCCACATCTACGTGACTGGCTGGTGTTAGCCAATAATCCGTTGTTGTTATTACCGTAATTTGTCTATGGCAAAATCATAGGCTTAACACTGCGGAATGGTGTTTATGGTCAGTTCCAGACCCAAATGGAAAGAAGCATATTGATCACGTGATATGAATCACGTGACCGAGGAATAAGGAACACGATAATGCTGTTTGAGAGCGAATTATTCACATCATCGGTCAGCTGCTTTTGACGGAACAACCTATTCTTCAAAATTGCGGGTCCGAATTCCCCTGTAGGTTCGCGAGATGGGCATCGCTGATGGTTTGGATCAAAGGTAAAACAGCTGTGCAGTGCTTCTCAGCACAGACCAACTTCACTTAGAGGACAAAATCTCGATTGAGAGCAACTAGACAGTTGGATCCAAGCGTGTATGTCACAAGTAAACTCCTGTCTCGCATTACTGATGGGTCCAGCCTAAGTCCCTATCAGGAAGGTCAGATTCCTGAATGTAACCTCAGAACGCCCGAAACCTACTGCTCCACCAAAATCTCAACAGAAAAGCTGGCAAGCGTCTAGGCCAGTCAGTCATTCAATCGATTCAGCAAACGCTGGTGAACGTTCATGCACGCCACAGAAGCACGACCGTATGTGATCTGCGTTCAGGCACTTCATAGAGGCGCGACCGACGTTGATGGGTGTTCACTAACGCCTATCAGACAGCCTGGATCAATGTCAGGAAGCCCCCTTTAAATAGCATGGGGCCGTTGTAACTTTTGCTCTCATACTCGCACCCACTCACGCTCTCGCACTCGCTTGTTCGGAATATAGCGGTTGTGTTCCCTTCTGTGAGTCTTTTTTCCGGTAACTAGGCACTGGAGCGGGTCAGCAGTAGATACAACAGTTTGACGAACCAGCAGATGTAACAGTCTCGCTCCAACGGTAGTCTGTAGATGGTTGACTTGTGGGAATCCAATTCTAACATCCTCACCGACAGAACAAATCGAAATCTTCAGTGTGTAGGGTACCGTTCAAAATCCAATATGAATATAAGTAAAGAGCTGAAACTCACTATCTGCCTCGGGTAGTCAGACGATCTGCAAAGCTGAGATGTTAAGCACCGGCCACACCTGTATTATAGTTTGGTTTGATTTCGCCTACGCGATAGTGACCATAGAAAGTCGTTTTGAACAACGCCTCCGATTTAGCCTACTGATAATCCCAGGGCTAAAGCATGTCTGTTAAACCTACTTTATCCGTTGGTGAAAAGTCGAGAAAGCTTTTGCTTCAGAATTATCCAGAGTAATCAACCCGCGAACACTGAAATTCACTCATTTATAATCTCTAGACTGTATGGGGACCAACGCTAGTCCGTACACTCGTATTACGAAAAAGTGAAAGAAAGGTACACCACCTCAGGGTTTTCGATTTTCTATCTAATCTCAGAGATCAACCTGTCTAAGTCTAGGAGCCAGTTTACGGAATGCAATATCCCGAGTATAAGAGCTTATCACTTCGATATAAAGCCGTGTATTGCTCTCTGGTCTCAAGCAGTCCTATCTCCGATATCAACACTGGTATATCTATCTAATAAAATAACCGTTCAGCTGTAACAGCCTTTCGGTGGCTAGCTGCGGTGCCAGCCGAAGGTAGCACGGGGGCTTGGATACTGCCAGGTTGCCGAAACCTAGACAGGGCAAGTCGAGATGTAGAGGTCGAACCACGGACCTTCCGTTCAGTAAATTCGCGCTGTAACCACTGAGCCATCTATCTACTAAGCATCCGACATCGCGAACTCCTAAACTGATCAGTCTTTATCAGCATCGTAACAGTCTGCCACCATTACAACTATCCACACCGACGGAAACCCTAGCACCGACAGCCTCGTCGTTAATATGGGTTTATAAAATCCCGCAATCAACACTCTCGCATAAGAACATATCCATATAGCCACGTTTTTTGTCCTATCGCACCAAGATTTGTCTACCATCAACGATATTGTAATCCTCTGACTGCTGAGCCACTGGACGGGTAGGAGGTGACGTCGAACTGTATTTAGCACCCTAGAAAGCTCAGTCGGTAGTGCGCCCATTCGGAAGGTGTGTCACTGGTTCATTCCCGCTCACACACCACATACATTCGAACTTTTGCCTTCAAAATGACACAATGTAGGACTGTAATTCCAGGACTGGCTCACATCGATTTCTCAACGTGTTGTAGCGCAAACCCATCTCACAAGGCTTCTGAAAACTTCTGCACTTTTTCGTCCTATATTCCAGACAACCCTACCATCCCTGACGGCCAGTCCACAGGCTCAACCTCATCCGACTTCCCAATCTCCTGTGTCTCACCCAAAGATAACCGCCTGGAAGTCCCATCCAAAGGCGATTCAAGGAGTCACCCTAACCGGAACAGCGGTCACGATGAACCCAGCCACGACCGGGTTCAATGCGGAGACAGGATCAATGCTCAACGTTAACAACAACAATAGTGGTACTGGCAGTACTGGTACAACTACTACCAGCACTATCGGACTCCGGGTGCACTTCCCTACAATATAACTAGCAATAAATCTCCCGATAAACTCAACACCTAATCCTGGCGCTCCTGTTGCCCAACTCCATGTGGATGCATTTTTTCGAGGAGCCTGATGATTTCCAAAGGCGTATCATACCTCATGACCAACACCCTTGGTCACACAAGGTTGAGTGTACATAGAAGACTGGACCACACTCTCCGGGGACCTCCGGACCGCCGCATCCATGCCTGTGTCCAACGTTTCCCTCCGCTGTCCAATTATTTTCAACTCCACACCACACGCACACATCTTTCATGTGAGCCATCCAATCTATCGATTGAACATCACACCAAATGCACAATGTACCAAAAAACACAAATCGATCGATCTGAAACAATCTGGCAAACATGTGTGCCTGGGAACTTCTGCATTCAGAGCAAACGAAATTGCAATAAACTCATCCCACAGTAATCATGTGCAACAAGGTGTTTTATTTCGATTACTGATAGTTGTTGGTCTGGGTTGGAACGGGAAACTTAGAGGATATTCCGACCGGTTAGATCAGATGTGACCTGGGCAACGTCCATTCGTAGTGAATGTCAAATATTGCACGTCGTTCGAGTAAGTGATTCGAATCTCTTGTGGACAACAGTGGAGCTTGGTGGAATTCTCAGCGCAAGATGTGGTTAGTTCAGACGGATGCAGTACGATCGGGCAAACGCAAACACCACTTCATGACTGTTAAAAGATTTCCAGCAACCTTATAAGTAGTGTCATTTCAAGAAAAAAGTGCTTCAATACTTTGACTACCACATCAACTGAAACATGAAGCGGTCTTTGTACAGTCCATTCAGTTGAAGAACAAAATAAACTAGGGGTAAGCTGGGATTTCGCCTAAGACCTTCGGTCTCTTGGACACAATTTAGTGTTTAAGTAGAAAATCAAATTGATCGGAACTCGAAGGTAGCGCGTGCCTGATGAGCCTTAAAAGGCGAAACCGATGGCGAAATGTCAGACAAGTCCCATTAACATCAGTAGGGTTGTCATGAATCAAACCGACTCAGTTTTTGCCCATGCGATGGGCAACACATGACTGCTTTCAAGTAGTCAGGTATCCCAACGAGTACGATCGCATGGACTAAACCCAGAAATCGTTTCATCGGTGGACGAGCTGATGATGCCAGGACACAGTTGTTAGGTTGTTTTACTACTTCCAGGGCATCACTGGAAGTCATTGCGTCCGCAAGTGATTGCATAGGATGAACCTCATCTATTGTGTTATCTGCATGTGTCGTTCTGATTCGGTAGACACGCTTGCATGAATGCACCGCATCATTCTTCTGGCAGTGGAGATGTGAATGTCTAATAACGCTTCGCACCTGAAGATCGACTGGTGCGTGATTGTGACTGACTTTCTGGAGGGACGGTGGTCGATCATGGAATTAATAGTTTCGGTGAAAATTCGGGGGCCCGAAAGACAGCTTCCAAAAGGACACCGTCAGTTGGTGGACAATGAGCGGATCGCATGGGAATCTCTAAACATGTGGTGGTAGCCTTCAGAGAGAGGAAACAGCTATACGTCGTAGGCTGTCTAAGAGTTTTCAGCAACCTTGTGGGTAGTTTCCTTTATGAAAATATACGGTGATATCTCGAATACCGCGCCGACTGAATCATGAGGCGGCCTGTATGCTGCACATTCAGTTGTAGAATATCATAAACGAGAGATTCAGTCGGGTCTCTCGTGAAAACCAAATTGATTTGCAATTGAGTGTATTTCTGGAAACAGCTACAGGTTTGCAACTAAGTGCAAATTACTAACGCAGTCGGCATACATTCTCCTCAACAGTTAGGTCCAACGAAGCCGGTCAATGAGCAATCCTCACCAGGAACACAGTGTACACTTCGTAGAGATACGTTGGACTTCACAGCTTAACGCCAGTCGGACGCGGGCGCTATTTGCTGCAAAACGCAAATAAACTGGGCGCAAGAAATTGGATAGGAAAGTATTAGGTCTGCATAAAAAATTTCAAAAGCCCCATAGTTATAGACGCATTTCTGAACTTTTTTGAGTACCTGTCATCAACGAGGGGAACCTAGTTGAATAGACCAATTGCCGGTTGGTATTTCAGCGTACAAACGGATACTGCACACCCACACATTCATCGGCAGTATACATCGCCACACCTGCACACATATGGTGTGAGGTAGATTTGTTCAATTTCATGAGAGAATTTCTGATGGTAATGACATCACAGATGTGCTATATGGGTTTATATGTTACCGCATGAACTTTTCTTCGGTTTGGATGAATACAAAGGTCAGTTCGCAAACCCACAGGGTGTCACAGAACCGCCGCTGATCATCGCCGTCTTCCTGGATGGAGACCCCGAGACGGTCCACATCAATGGTTAGAGACATTGTCAGACATGGCCCAGTCGCGCCCTCAATGACGCTCATGCATCTAATCTATTGCCTTCAGTGCATAGCTCCCTTCCCAATCCCCCCACTTGACAGTGCTGGATTTATGCACCAATTTATCCTCTCCCGCCTGTAATGCGCAGCTACCTCACCCCTCGAAACCCTTGGTGAACGAAACTGCGGCAGCTAAAATTACTGTACGACGAGTACACGGTTATTACAGCTCACAATGATAATGATGACACCTGATTTGAGGCTCACATTTTTCTGATCCACAGCTAGCTGTGAGTCGACATTTATGCTAACCTTATCAACAACGTTTCTCGAAAATTCCAGTAAGTGAATACGATTTTTTCCACGACTTGAATTTGTATAACTCTCTAGGTTCTCTATTCCCATCACGCTACGTCTGAGTAACTCTGGGACAAAAGTGCGAACATCATCCTTGATGTATCGCAATTCAATGCGGCGAAATTCACACATTGTCCGGTATTGATTCTCATGCTTAGGCGTTCATTCCGTTGCGATAATATACGGCATTTTCTGTATTCGCTAAGCAGTACTGCTGTCACAGGGTACGACCGAACTTTACCACGCTGTTCGTCGTATAATCTACTTTTTCATAAAGGAAGCTACTCGCAAGGTTGCTGAAAACTGTTCGACAGCCCACGACCGGTTTCGCCCTTCTTGGGGCTCATCAGGTAGGCGCAGTCCCCGAGTTTCCGTCAACCTTATGTTCTACCTTTTCCCTATGAACTTGGAAGGTAAACAATAACAGGAGGTACTTCTGTACTGTTGTCTAACCCAGATGGCCGAAAAACTTTCCAGCTGATAACCCATCGTGTCCCACTTTACTCAAGGTCGTCTCAAACAGATGGCTTCCGGCTGAGTATATCTCGATAGAGTGGCACAAGAATATCAAGTTGAGATTGATCCGGATATCAGCCTACTACGGTGACAGGTAAACTGAATGCGTTAGCATCTAACTGTTTCTGATTCACTGTTAAAATTCTCAGGGAGCCCCATCCAATATAGCAAGAATGGAATATGCCTGTACAAAAGGTGCATTTTTTTACATCCGCATGATGAATATCACAAGAAACTGGTTGGGCGAAGGTTGATCTCGGAACCGGATCTGGATTTGACCTTGAAAAAAGCATAAACAGTAGTTTTGTGTTACGATCAGGATAATCACATTGGAGGAAAACGGAATATCATAGTAATCTCGAAAAACAGGTACACCATTGCAGCTGAGTTGCGCCAACAAAAAAGCAACATTATACAATGAATGTCGGTATGTGTACTTGTACGAAAAAGCCGTTCAGCTGTAGCACCCTTTCGGTGCCTAGCTGCCATGCCAGCCGAGAAAAGCACGAGGGCTAGGACGCTGCCGGGTTGCCCAAGCCTAGACAGGGGAAGTCGAGAGGCAGTGGTCGGGTTCGAACCACTGAGCTGGATGGCGCTGTGAGTTACTTGCGTTGACCAACAATCAAACCGCGTAGTTTATGAAACGTAATCCTCGGATATGCATACAGTGATGTGACGGTATCTGCTTCATCTGACGCTGAGGGTTCTTGATGCACGCGGCTTGAATGATCTGGCAGCTTTGGTTTCAATAACCTTCTCCCAACATTTGTTTGAAGATGTGTACCAGTGGTATATTGTTCAGCTGTAATAGTGAATCGGGTGGAACCATCTCCAAAACACAGGGACAGATATGGTCCTGTTGACGTGGTGCCGAAACCTGCGAGTGCCGATCAGAGTCACATAAGTCGTACTACAGGGTGAGTTATTGCCGGATGATCACTGGACAGAGGATGCTCCGTTCGATGTCGGCCCAGTTGCATCAGTGAGAAAGAATATGTGGGACCAAGCCCAGGTCGGGGTTTAGAATCAGGGGGCCGGCCGGTTCATACTAAATTATTTCCTCACTGCCAGCAAATGGTAAAGATGCTACTTTTTTCACCTGTGAGATACAGTTCAAAGTTCATGGGCCGTTAAATGTACTGATGAAACTAATGATTTACATCCCAATGGCGACATTTTATTCACGGACTACGAAGAAAACAGTGGGAATACTTAGCTCTACCAACAAAAGCACACTTCATGGCGTTTCGCTATTTTCTGCGAGGCTAATAAATGTTCAAAAACGTCTGAGAGAATAATGCGCCTTACTCCTTTCCAATTAGCTTTCTTCCTCTGCCCCCTCGCCTTCATCCTCCTCCTCCTCATCGTCACTGTATTCGGAGAATTCCATTTGTGAATCTGTCTCGGTCATCATGCTAGCTGTCTCGTCAGCCACTGAGCTAGCGGCAGTCACACTTGTGGCAGTAGTCACCGAGTGCTTCCGTCGTCGTTTCGCCTTGCTCGGCCCTCGATTCACACTGCTGCCATCATCTTCGGCCGATTGCCGCGGACGCAATACCAGTATCACGTCGGGGACCTGGTTGTTCTCCTCTAGTTTTTGGAACTCAGGGTGATTCACATTGCAGTTCCGTATATCTAGGCTAGACGAAGGGAAAAATGGAATTAAAAAGGTCACAGTTCACGCAGATGAAGTCACAGGGAAACAAGAGGATAATATGACACAATAATGATGTGGTACATTGCACTGAATGTGCATCCCTGCTATTTGCTTTCAAAACCAGACTATGTATGCGGGAAATGTCCAGTGAAACGCTAGGTCCCAGTAACACGTGTGAACCGTGCGTTTGTGCTATTAGTTTTGCCTACTTATGAGTAGACTAGTTATCCCGCAAACATATTTACCACTGCCCAGTGTGACAATAGGTGATGTTCGTCGGCCCTATATCCATGATCTCTTCGTCCTGTTGATTTCTGTCGGCTGTTTGATTCGCCTGCTATCAGGATTTAAATCCAGTTCGTTCCAGATGTTGTTACAGACTGTGAAGTCATAATCCAACATTCAGAACTTTCCCGTCTATCACCGGAAGTAAAATAATGGCCGTAGAACATTTTATGGAACTTCTTCACGGCACCAATGCCATTTTTCGAAGTATACGACGCCACAACAATTTCCATCGACGGATCGAGTGGGTAAGAAGCCAACCTGAGCTCAGTACGGGTTTGACAGAATCGAAGGTACTTCCGCACTATTATGACCATACCCACTTGTGGTCGTTGGTGAGTAGCTGGTTAGATGTGCTTCAAAGACTATGTCTGGCCAGGAGAAACGGCAAGAACGAGGAGTGATATGAAGAATGCTACTTCTGTAGGTGTTAAAATATGTTTTATGGCGTAAATATTCTCCGGGTCTGGTGAGCGACCGCATTCTTCAATGGTGAAACCAAGAAACTTCGTCGATCCCATGAAGCTGCATTTCTCTTGGCCCACTTTGAAGCCAAAATCTCGAATGTGACCAAGCACCTAATCGAGGGGCTGCTACAGTGAGGTTGTCCAAACAGGCGGCAACACCGGGGACATCCTTCAGCATCTTTGAAATATGGCTGGCGCTATCTTGAGGCCAAACGGGAGTCGGGTATGTTGGAAGGGACCGTTGGGGGTTATTAATGGCCAAAAGTTCCCGGAATTCATCCTCGACTTCAACCTAGAGGTAGGTTTTGGCCAGATAAATCTTAGCAAAACATCCCCCTAATTCAGTTTCCTGAACAAGTCATCTGGAGCGGCAGATAGTGCTAATGGGTATCCAGTGCAGCATTGAGATCGGTGGATAGGTCTGCAGCAAAACCGAATGGTCCCGTTGGTCTTCTTCACCATTACGATCGGTGTGGGGGATGCCGATTAGCTGATTGGTTGGAGAACAATAATCTTCTGTAGTCTATCCAGTTCCTGGACCACAAAGAGCAATGTTGCATACGGTACTGGGCGTCTTGGCATGAAAACCGGTTTGGCACCGGAGTGGAGGCACAGTCTGGCTCTTGCTTTTGTGCACCGTTCAAGCTCGTCGGTGAATATAGATGCATAACGTTGTAGGAGGTCCTCAAGTGAACGCTTTGAAAAATGAGTTTGTTCGAGGGCACCTCCGGGTGCTACGTTCATAAGGTTGCAAACAGAATTAATTGGTTTCTCCAGCAGATTCAGCCTCTCGACCCAATCCAGCTCCCATGAGATAAAGCTTGGGACATGAAGTCAGGCAGCAGGTGGTTCGTCCAATGAGCAGCATGACGTCGAGGTCCGTATTAGACTGCAAACGAACTGGGATGTTGTTGATACGAAACGTCACATCCTCTGATGAGAAGTAAGTCAGGCATTTTGAAGATCTTCGTTCAGCTGTAGCACCCTTTCGGTGCCTAACTACCAGGCTACCCGAAGGGTGCACAAGGGCTGGGATACTGCCAGGTTACCCAAGCCTAGGCAGGGGAAGTCGAGAGGCAGAAGTCAGGTTCGAACCACGGACCTTCCGGTCAGTAAATTCGCGCTCTAACCACTTGGGCCATCTCGTCCTTTCGAAGATCTTGTATAGATATGGGGGGCATATGGTAGTTCTTTCGATGGAAGATCGAAGCGGATACAAATCCCAGGATATGTTCTGGAGAAAGAGGCCTCCTCTTAAGAGGGGGAGCATTTTACATCACAATGATGAAATCCGAGGAACCGGGGATTTGTTCCGCCTGCGCGGAACAAACTACTAATGGAAGTCAATGAGAAATTCTAGTGAGAGTAAACCACAGTGCACGAACTGGTTGTCGAATCTGCCTCAGGGTTTCATGTCTGATTCCATGAACGACCTCACTTGCAAACGCACCTTTGATAACTGAATAAGAGCTAGTTGGCAGAGTGTCAATAGCGATATGAACGAGATTCAAGCTCTCCACAGGCAAAATGAAAATGACCCCAATTAAAGCAACTGAAAACAACTGTTCATTATGTAAGAAACTAGTGAGCACATCGCTGATTCACAGGGATGAACTATCCGACAGTTTTCAGCAACTTTATGAGTAGCGTATTACGTTTTTGCACTACTAACGGTATTTCACAGGGATGAACTATCCGACAGTTTTCAGCAACTTTATGAGTAGCGTATTACGTCTGTACACGAACTAACGGTATTTTATTAGGTGGTCTTTCCTGTGAAGCTGTTCACCCTATTTTATCGAATAGCGAATACTTTTTGGGGATGAATGAAATTATCATAAAACAGGGGGTGGTTAGAAAACACACGAACTTTTTCCAAAACATACCCGAAGACTGTATCACCCACGTGAAGAATACGTCCCAAATGGCAGCGCGCATGAATCATGCCGTCTTCGTGGGAGTCCGCGTCTGTTCCACTCACAGTCATTTGTTGATTGAGACGCATTAGCCAGACAGAAATGGGCTGATGTCGCTTGGATAGACGTGCACCAACGGGAGCAGATGGGATGCGCTTGGCGGCACCATGTACCTCTTCTTCAATCTCCACGACAACGAATGGAACCAGCTGCTTTTGATGTGCGATCGCCGTGAATGGGGACGCGAAAAAGGAGGCGCCGTCCAGATGGTAAACTGAGAAAAAGGAGAATTAATGGTGGGTGAGCTATGATCCCAAGTGAATCCTAGGCATTCGAAGCCTTTCGATTTTAGTTGGGAACACGATGTTGAATGAGAACAAAGCCATTTAAAAAAATGCCTTTCGGGGAGTTTTGCATCTAATTCAGGCTAGCTGGAGTCATTTGTAGACATCTGTGAAAGCCAACACGCTTCCACTTTTTCGAAAAATCAGTCGAAGAGCTTCGATTACCCTACAACTGGATGGCCTAAAAAATTTGAAAAAAGATAAGAATGCGAGTCCAGTTGGTGCAAAACAGAAAACTGGTGATGCGGCTCGAACATCTAACACAATGCAGTACAAACACGAAGAATCAGCAAGTAGCGCTGGTGGTTATCTGCTGGGATATAAGTGTCGAACAATGGAGACACAGCAACGTTGTGATCGAAATATCGTGCAGCTCGAGGCACGAGCTACAGTCTTCAGAACTCCAGCACTAGTTAACCAATCGACCACGCATCAGCAAAATTGGGATTTCAACGGGATTTTGAAAATAAAGTAGATTCAACCGAACTCTAACAGGTTGTTTAAAAATGTCTGCTCTAGGGTAACAGTATCCCCCCGACGAGATCTAAAAACGGAGCTATGATGAACACACGTGAACATCCCTTGTAGTCCCACAACCGGTACTGATTCTGTTCGATAAAACTAACTAGGTCCGCTTCACTGTGGAGTACGAGACCTGGCAGAGGGATATGAAGGAGGTTACGAAACGTTTGGGTGATACCGGTGCTACTCACCTTCCAGGATCACGTGATCCCCGCTGCGCCTGGTTGGGGACGCCGATTGCTCGAATGAGTGTCTGGAGGTGTAGACGCCAAGCAAGTTGCTAATGCCGCGGATGGTGGACATTGCAATGCGAGCAAGCAGTTTGCCAGTGAATGATTCTGCTCGCCCAACCTGGTCACTAAGTGGCCCAAAGGAGGCGGAGAAAATTTTGCAAAACAAACCACCAGACCAACGACACACTGCTAACGCCCATCACTCCAATAAAACAGGTTTGAACTCAAATGACCAAGTAACCGCATAACTGTTGTATAGTCGCGCTGTCTCCCTGTTGTATTGTGCGATGGGCGAGTTATTGGAGTTACGCCTGCACTGAGCCTGCCAGACTACGCGACAGGGAGAAGACAGAGAACTGCGGACACGGCTGTATTGCCAGGACAAAACGTACAGAGCGTCTGCGTAAATATACAGGATGACTACTTGGCCAAGTATGGTCGTTCACTTGTTCGTTCCATACAGCCAATGGTGGTGTTCCGGTCGTGAACAATCTCGGGCCCACTACGCTGGTCGTGTGTTTGGTGAGAGCCGCCAACTCACCTGCTTTCCGGACGTGTCGAACCGATGATGACCTTGGGGATGCGTCACCCTCTGCACATGTACTTTTTCTTCTGTCTGGGCTCGCCCTGACACTCCCAAAGCGTTTCATCGTTCATTGTTGAATAACTTTTTCTCGTTTTAGCTCGCAATGTCAAAGTTTTCGATGAATGAAGCCTGGCTTTTGAGCCCACGGGCTTTTGCATTTTTATTCTGATGATTGTCGCCTCATTCCATTCCTCGTTAAATAAAAATGACTCAGGATTTTGAAGACTCCCCTGACGTTCTTATTCCCGAGGACGTCACTCACAGACAAGTACACACACAAGTGTACACACCAACTGCTGTGCGATTACTCAGTCTGGTAGCTATGAACATTCAATGTGCACGAGTCAAATGTACTGCGGCAAATTGGAAAAAAGTGGTCCTCTCAAACTTTTGAGTCACTATATCAACGTGTAAGCTTGTTTGGAGCGTCTCAGATGAACGGAGGTTGGCATTAAGAGCGGAAGCCTTACGACTTTTCGAATTAAAACTGCTCCAACCATTTGGGAACAGAGTACGATGACTATGTGCTTTCGTTCGTTTTCTACTTTAACCTCTGAGACCACCCGTGGTTCGAAGGAGGTGACGCCCAAAATGACCTGCAAATAGATTAAGTCATTCTGCTGTGACACCCTTTCGGTGCCAAGCTGCCATGCCTCCCAAAGGAAGTACGAGGGCTGAGATACTTCCAGCTTGCCCAGGTCTGGACAGGAGAAGCCGGGAGGCAGAGGCCGGGTTCGAATCACGGACCTTCCGTGATTCTGAACAAAAAAAAAGGATTCAAACGTGGTATATCACGTGTTCACCATCGCCAGCCGCGAACAGATAAGAAACAGTATGAAGCTAATTCGTGAAAATCGCTTGTTCATGCGTCTGACGGTAATCTGGGAAGTACAAGATAGAATGCTTCCTTCGAAGGAAGGATGAGGGGATTGGCTGAATGTCTCTGACAGCCCATTGACGGTTTCGACTTGCTTGAGGCCCGAATGAACAAGCCAATCCGTGAGCTAATGATTCAATCCCAGACAAGACGGCCACACATCATCACTGTGCCCTTGAAACACAGGACGAAGAGAATCCACATAGAGAGAAAAGCCTGGCATCAAGTGGAACTTCCAGTTCAAATAATGATCAAGGATAAATACCAGCAGGGGAAGTAGAATCATTTACACATACTTTGGCACGTGACCGGGTCGATAAGATGAATCGCTTCGGACACTTTGTACACCACGCACAGAGGACCCAGTCCACCGAACCGCTGAGATTGTGCTTTGGACAAACATACAATATCGTTCTGTAGAGAAAAAGGACAAAAATAATTGAAGTTATTATTGGCTGATTTTTTGATGGCCATAGGTCACGCTGACAAATGTGTTGTACTCTAGCTTTCAACAGATTTTTTTCATCAGGACGAGTTGGCCCCAATTCACTTTACTGGTGTCTTTTTTCACCATACCAAAGCCACTGGATGTCGCCACTTCGAGGCAGCGATCGAATGATCGGTCTGTTTTTTCGACAACTAAACTACATCCGTGCATCTTGGAAGACTTACTGCTACTACTATCAACGTGTATGTTCACCGTCCGTTTGTACCTTGGATGTCTTCAGGAAAATAGTCCAGTTGAAAAGGTCACAGTGTACATGGTTTGTCAAACCAGGCACGACAGAACCCCGATATGGAACACAGTAACATCTGTGGACAAAATCACTAATATGTTCGACTGATCATACTGCACAGGTTGCGCTGGCTTGGCCACGTGTTGCACATGGCAGTCGACCGACTTCCTTGAAAAGCTCTTTTCGCACAACCACGTGAAGGGTGGAAAAGATCCAGAGGCGGTCAACCAATGACTTGGCAGCAAAGTATGAAAGCCATTATCAGCAAACTCAGCTACGCTAGTCATTGCCATCCTCCTGGATGGGGACCCCGAGACGGGTCATATCAATGGTTATAGACACTGTCAGACATGGCCCAGTCGTGCCCTCAATGGCACTCATGCATCCAAGCTATTGTCTTCAATGCGTAGCTCCCGTCTCAATTTCCTCACTTAACAGTTCACCTACAGTGCTGTATTAATATACTAAATCATCAGCTCCAACTCCAATGCACAGTTACCTACCACACCTCTCCGAATCCTAGGTGAACGAAATCGTGGCAGCTACAACCAGTGTACGACGAGTACGCGGTTCTTACAGCTGACAATGATGATGAGGGCAGTAGTATCCCGCAATCGTCACCGGATAACACTCTGTCTAAGGTCAAATGCAACTCAGGGACGCACGTCTCCATCCACCGCTAACCTTCAAATAAGCGATTATGTTTCAATATGCATGGGTAACAGTGCAATGAATACAGGTCTTCGACAGTGCCTGATAGTAAGTTTCCACCAATTAATAGCCACCAGATAGAACGAGCGGCTGTAGAAGATTCGTTAGACAAGTGTGAATTCCTTCAGTTGTTCACGCTTATGAATTATCGCTGTGACTGGTGAACTATTGATGTAAACAGGCCCCAATCTTATCGAACTAAGTATTTTGCGGGAAGTCAGTTGGCTCATTCAACATGGTAACAAAGTAATAGCGTTGCTGACGTCGTCATGTTTTAGACATGGTAACAGCTCAAAGGATATCCAGACAAAAAGAGATCATACAAAGAAAAGGCCAAGGCATCATATTTCCCACGGAGCTAAAAGGCTATAGAAAAGGCCGCTCTTCGGAGAGTCTCGATGGTTGGTAGTGTACTGCAAGAGGACTCAAGTGGCTAGAACGCGAATCTACTGACCGGAAGGTTCGTGGTTCGAACCCGCTCTGCCTCTCGACTTCCCCTGCCTAGGCTTGGGCGACCTGTCAGTATCCCAGCCCTTGTGCTTCCTTCGGGTAGCATGGCAGCTAGGAACCGGAAGAGTGTTACAGCTAAACGACTATTATTATTATAGTGTACTGCAAGCCATCAGCTAAATATAGGACACTCCATAGGACCGTATAGTGATTTCGGACAGGTTGGGCTACACCGACCATATCAATTATCCAGTCCAGTCAGATCACCTTCCAGTTCCACTCTCCTCAGAAGTAACACCAAGAGATGGGCTAAGTACATCGATCTGACGGAAAATGGTCATTGTTCACCAGTACTAAACTGAAGGAATTATTCATACATTCTACTTCCAATGTTATTATCGACCACCACATGTAGTTCAGGTTTACCATGCTCTCGGATAACACTGTTACCCCCACGAACTACAAACACCCATGTTATCGTACGTCGTTAGCAAAAAGCACAGGAAACGGGTAAAATCCAAGGAAAGTGTCAACTGTAAGCTTTCCCACTACAAAGAACAACCAATCATTGGAAACTCAACCTCTTCCAGAAGAGGTTCTACTTCAACGGGATCTTGTAAATGGAAGGGCTGCCGAACTTTATCAAGACGTCTCGAAGGCAAGCAACCAGAGGAAATGAAGCTACCACTCTAAGAGTCATTGTGTAAAAGATGGGCGAGGTGAGTCAGTTGTTAGGGCGCGAATTTACTGACCTGAAGGTTCGAACCCGACCTCTGCATCTTGACTTCCTCTGTGTAAGCTTGGACAACCTGGCAGTATCCCAGCCCTTCCTTCTGTTTGCATGGCAGCAAGGCACCGAAAGGGTGTTACAGTCGAACGATTTACTTTTTTTATTTCGCGAAGAATCTCTTTACCTTGTCGTTTAATAGACAGTTAACCAGCCGTTAGTCGGTCATCCACGTGGAAAATGGGTAAGATACACAAAACGTTCAAAATGAAAAACCATTGGCACTGAAAACCTATCACTCGTAAGCTAACCTTGCAGATACCAGCAACTTCCACAGAAAACGTGAACTTGTAGTTGTACGTATTGTTGTGCACATCGTGTGACTTTAGATGTTGCGACGTCTGATATCTGGAAGGGAAAAAGGGGTAACGTATTAGGAAATTTTGGGCGATAAAGTCAGTTTATGGGTTGAATTGAGCATCTGATGATGAGGCAAGTAATATCTGTCATGAAGACGAGGGCGAATCACAAGAAAATATAGCCAAAATGCAGTTATTGGATTTCAACTTGACAGTTCCTATCAGGGGGGTCAGAGTGGTGACCAGTTCAAGATGCTTCACAAACCGCGCGATGCAATCCTACGGCAGCCCTCCAGAAACATTGACCAAAACAGTGGTCCAAAGACGTTCGTTCAGCTGTAGCACCCTTTCGGTGCCTAACTTCCATGCCACACGAAGGAGGCACGAGGGCTGGGATACTGCCAGGTTGCCCAAGCCTAGACGGAAGTCAAGAGGGAGAGGTCGGGTTCGAACCACGGACCTTCCGGTCAGTAAATTCACGCTCTAATGACTTGGCTCATCTCGTCCGCAGACAGCTACCATTCGGCTCAAAGCTTCAGTATTCAAGCAGAACAAAGGAATTATGCGATGGAGGAAAAACGAGGAACACCAGAAGGAGTGTAGCGCCAAATGGCTTTTGTGCAGTACCATTCGATTAAGAAATATCGAAAACGAGAGATTCGGATGAAATTCGGTTTAGTTTCCCGTCGAAGCCAATCTAATTTTCAGATGGGTGATAACTACAACATACGTACATAGTCCGGTGTTTAACTAGGAAGTGAGGGTTATGGGAATTCTGGGATGAACCTCAAGAAGGACAGAGCTGGTAGTGAACTTTTCATCGACCCTATGAGTAGCATTGAAACACTACGGTATCCAGAATGGGGTTCCGATATATGGGACGGCTTCGTGCAGCACATTTAGTTGTGGGATGTTATGAACGAAAGAAGTTCAACGAAAGCTCCAGTCGTTACATTTGACTGCCGTCCCAGCTCCAGTGCCTCAGTGCCGGAAAAAGCCTCGCCAACAAGGAACACAACAGCTTTGTAGCAAACGGGTGAGTGCGAAGTACAACGGAGACTGCCGTCCCAGCTCCAGTGCCTCAGTGCCGGAAAAAGCCTCGCCAACAAGGAACACAACAGCTTTGTAGCAAACGGGTGAGTGCGAAAGTACAACGGAATCATGCTATATAAAGAACAGCACTGTTTGACCTTGATCCAAGGTTGTCCTACCGGCGTTTAGTGGATTTTAAGGGTCTCAGTAGATTTCGGGTATACTGGGATTACCTTCAGGAATCTGACCTTGCTGACACCCATCGATACCAGGCTGATTTGCAAACGAGTGTTCATCCCAATCCACCCTCAACGAAAACAATTCAACCAGAATCGAAGATATAGTTTCCAAAGTAGCTGAGAAAACATCATGAGGGCTATCCCGGTGACAAAGATTTAGTAATCGAGTGACACGTGAAACGCTTGGCACTATGAGCACTGTCGATAAAAGATCTTGCCACATCAACCGGCTCTTCCTCGTTGGATCCATTGTTGATTCCTTTCTTCTATTTTTATATTGTACAACGCGATTCCCCCTTTTTTGTCATTTTGGTTTGTGTCTATACCGACCTTCTTGTTTCTGACCTGAACATAAACCGTTCTTTGACCTTGGCATCGGACGTGTTGTTTAAGTTCACACGTGGTTTCGCTCGCTTGTAAACACGTGGCTTTGACCGGTGTGGACCTTGAGACCCGTTAGGAATTAGCAGCTCCTAAACCGGTGTATAGAAGCCGGCATGGTTCCACGTTTGTAAAGTTTTGTCATTTTATTATTGTACTTATAGTACCGCATTTGTAGATAAACCTCCATTTGAAAGATTTGGCTTTTGGGGTTTTGCGCGTAACTCGACAAGGTTCAACAGATTGCTGGAATCAGTCTCTATCCATCATGGTTCATAATCCATCAAAAAGTACGTGCATTGCACTGCCAGAACATAGCCCCGAATGCAACGCGGGTTCAGAGTAACGATGCTAGAATACATGATGAAACAAAGCATGGTGACCGTTATTCATTGGTGGTCTCCCCGGTAATTGCTGTGATTTTCGCAATATTACTCATTATCGGGCCGAAGAACATCCTACTCAAGGGTATTTTGGATCCGTCGAGCCGTTGTGGTATTTTCTATCGAACTCACACGGCTATTCAGAACTGGCTGCTGTCAGTCATCTCTTCAACGAGAATACAACTGCGACCAGTAGCTATTTTGGCATCGTTTGGTATCCCGTCGAGGAGAAAGTATTTCGCTAACATTCAACGAGGTTCTCGAGAAATACACGCATATGCAAATCAATTTGGTTTTATACTGCGATATCTCGAATATCATGCCAACTGAATCATGAGGTGGCCTGCACGCAGCACATTCAGTTGTAGAATATCATAAACGAGAGATCCAGTTGAGTCTCTCGTGAAAACCAGATTGATTTGCAAATGAGTGTATTTCTGGTCAAATTCCTTTTGGTAATTCACACTCTAGGAAGCCTTTGTACCATTGAATTAAAGGCAACTTTAAAATGTCTTGATATGTTTCTCCTATGTTAAATTTTGTTGCATACGGCTCAGGTAAGTAACTTCTCCGTTCCAAATAATACAACAGGACAATTTAAACAGCTTGACAGGAAATTAAGCCTAATCACGTGATCATACATGACCTACCTGCAAGGTGCATGCTTGCACAAGAAGTTGACGAACGAAACGGCCTGTGACCTTGTGCCGAAGTAGAAATCGATTCCGTCTGTAATTGAAGATGGATCGGGTCTTATTTTACTTCACAATGAGTACAAGTCCGCCATCACTTTGACAAAAGCATAAAAACATTACCCTGACAATCGGAAGACGAAAAACAGTGCACAATTGGCGTACATAAACTACAAATGATTTCAGACTGTTCGCTTGACCATCCGTTTGAGCAGTCGCTGTTTCATGGGTTCCGCAACTAATCCTAAATAATACAGTTCCAAAGTAAATCTGATGGACTTTGCAACTTAAACTGCACAAATAAGGGCGCAAACGTAGTGGCCCACGGGCGGACGAATCCCGGTACGGACGAAATCGGTCTTATGATGACTGCTTTTGTCCTTTCGTTCAGCGCAAAGTAGTACCCAAGACACGTATTGCCAAGTTCGGCGAACAGGCCAACAACCGAGCAGCGAACCCGAGCTACCTACATTCCGCAACATTGCCAACACAAAAGTAAACATTCCGGTTGTTGCCTCGGACTCTCCAGGTGATAACCGAGCTCTGTAAAGCCCTTCTACGTGCTATAAATCGCCCCATCTCCAAAATACCCCCGGTATATAAGTTGTTGAAATGAACGGGAAGAAAGATGAGATATCCATGTTCAACCTCACTTGATAACTTCTCCAATCTACCTAATCGGAAAACAAAAAGATAATGAAGGTCTCTCACGAAATGCAACGCTGGGAGTGAAAGACACAACAATACTCACCAGAAACCTGCTTAATGGCACTGCAGTCTCCATGGGCTTTGGAACGGAGAATTATTTGCTCCAAATGCATCAGTGTCCTTTTGTGATCCACCTGAAAGGGAGGGGGGAGGAATATGCGTAGGAGACTAACAAGTTTAGACTGATAGATATCATGGTTGTACGAGGGCTAGGACACTGTCAGGGCGACCACACATAGGAGGACGATTAGGGTCCTCAACCAAAGCCTCTGACTCAAAAGCCTAGCCGCAAGGCAGCGGTGTTGGGTCGGAAATGGAAGTACATTACCATTTTCACGGAACACGTCGCCACACATGTTCCAACCCTCAACCTGGAGGGTCAGGATACTGTGTTCGTCAGACCTCTACCCATTGACCAACCTGGTATGACAGACTCTGTGAGTGTCGCGCGGACACCCCCCCCCAGTATAGCTCCATGAGTTGCCGCACCACGGAAAGGTTCAGTCTCTTCGTGTAGCGGAAAGTGGGAAATCAAAGGCAATGGTTATTCTGCTAGGTATGCTTCTTGGAAAGTGCAGACGTTAGTAAGAAGTATCAAGCAAAAGATTATCTGTGATACATATGTGACTTAGATAAATGTCTGTAAGTCCTGGCTAAACCAACCTTGTCATATAAGCTGTTGCTGCCAGGCACCTTTTAGAAGGAACGAGTATGGATCGAAGCAGAACACGTGAGCAGTAAACTTGACAACCGCGTAAATGTGTGTGGTCGTACGGTTGTTCACTAGAGCATACGACGCATCTCCCATTTGTTCGCGGTCTTAGTGTTGCAGCTACCGTGAAATCCAGTTATCTGAGGACTACAACAATTCAGTTTTATACTTCCTAGTTTCCGACTTCCAAAAATCTGTCGCTGTTGACCACCTCTGACCATGATCAGTGAGAGGGCAGATGACATCCTTGGCATGTGACCACGACATGACCCAATTCCGGCGCTTACATTGGTCCGTTTTGTGCGGCTGTCGAAAGTTCCCACGAATGGGTTGCACCATTATTTATGATACCAAACACTAGAGACAGCAGCAACGGTCAACAAGCAGCAGGAAGAATATCTTTTCATTTCTTCTGTATGATAGGTTGGTCCCATATGTGTGGAAATAACATTCCTTAGTGAAAATCCAGTGGGAGGCGGTTCGTGTGCAGACCGGATCAAAGCCATAAGATCCGTGGAAAAAATTGATTGCAAACTTATTGTATATCGTATTCATGACTATTCCCACCGTAGCACGTCAACGCGCCCCACATATAAAGGGTAATCTGACATCCTCTTCGTTGTCACTGATTGTACAAATAATCTGGAGACCTGAAAATGGCGGGGCTCCAAACGGCGTCGGTTAGCTTCACCACTGTCAGACTACCCACAGATCCAACGCGAACTATATCTGTAAAAGTATGTAGTAAGTTGTCAAAGATTGCACTGCATGACTTTTGCACGGAAATAACACGACCTGAGGCGAAACTGGGAGCTTACTCGCTGCCTGACTTGAACACAGGCATTCCAATAGTCCTTAGCGGCCGAGCGGGTGCAGTCGGAACACTGCTGGGAGTGGACCACAAATTCCAGCGGGATATCCTGTTCAACCATATCACCTGTGGGTAGTTCGCCATGGACGGTAACCTAGACAACCGGACAAAAAATGTGTAGACAGAAAAAAAGAACATAAGGCGTGACCACTAACTCATTGCTGTGGAGCAAAACATGGAAGGTAAGACGCGCTATACCTTCTCAAAAGTTGGGTAATCAGTGAACACAGAAAGTTATAGCGGAAGACAGGGGAGGTGATTGATTCAACGGGTTTATTAGTACTTTAATGTCATAAAGTGAGCTTATTCACATTTGAAAAATGGCGGCTTACCTCGAATACTGGATGCACAGCGTACAGCGGAGATGAGTGATAAGGACTACCTCGGGAGTGCCATAATTTACAAGCAAAACTGCAACAAACTATCCAGTGATCTGTGATGTTCGTTAGGTACATGCTTGCTAGAAAGCCTAGAGAACGCATGATTACTGTACTTCTAACAGACATGAGCAAACGAAAAGCCGGAATGATGTTCGAATCACACACATCTCGTGTCTTAACCATTAAACTATCTCAACCGTCCTGAATTCGATTAGCCTCTCGCGGATTCCTGATCAGAAAGGCGAGGAGCACGGCCATAAATAATTACATTGCACGGAACGTTCTAAGCTTTGGCTCTACTTGGTGAGTGAGCAAAATACAACGTTATATCGCCAATGCTGGACGTGTATCATAAACGTACACTGCACCATCTCCAATACGCAGGCCTTGGCATGTGATACCATCATAAAAATTTGTCAACCCATTTTGAACAGAGTGACCATAAGCGAAGAGGTTCGAAGCGGAAGGTCGACTAAAAAAGTAAACGACCGGGTATGCTTGACAATTTGGAAGGGATAATGTGTAGTCTGCATCAGAGTTACAAGATCAAAGGATTAAATATTGGAAAAGAACGTTTCAAATCTCTCGACAAATTTGGTCCGGTTCCGTAACTTTGCCTCAGCCCAAAAAATGATGACATAATGCTGATGATTCACTAGAAGTGTTGCGTTATGCATGGCATTTTAGCCTACGAAACACGTGATTCTCATTGGGAGAGGTTATTCGGGCTAATGGCGAGGCTATTCAGAAAATATGCTTCCACTGTCGGTATGTACGTGGTGCATGTATGATCTGAATAAGAAGATAAAAGAACGGGATGCTAGTGAAACACAGTCCTCGCTAAGGTCAATCAATCCCAGCCTACTCTGAGTACTGGTCATACTTGATGGAGTTCTACAGGGTGAGCCTTGAGAGCTCCTTGATCCCACAAGGACGAAACGGACACAAGAATCCTTGTTAAAGACCACTCTGAATATCTTTCAACTCCAGAGTGTTGTCCATTGCCGTACAACAAGGCACAACAAGCACTGCAAGACAACGCCCAAAACCAACTGTGGGATGTAGAAAATCTGTCATACTCTGACTTACTTCAATGTTAATTCTTTTGCTATGTGGTTCTGTCCATATAAACTTTGCGCTGCGAACTTTCAAGCCCTTATTAAGACCTTTAACCCGCTTGATACACATGGATAGCAATTCAGCAGACTCCGGAGCCGCTGTTACCCATTGTGAAGGAGGATTCAAATATCTGAAAAGGATCGGTGGGTGCACAATGGAAGTGATGGGACCTACCTTTCACACTTTGGGCAAAAAACGATCGTGTTCTGGCGCTGAATGTGTTTGGTGATATCGATTTCTGTGGACAAGCACGTAATACATGTGTTGGCTTCGTTCGGTTCGATCGAAACACCACATTTGCAACATAAGCTGTAGCGAAAATAAATCAGGCGGGTTGTGGAAAACTCACATACGGGGAAGTCTAACACAAGCCATCTTGAATTGGTTCTGGGAAGGAGAATGTGTGGAGGCGATTGGGTTTGGCCGTGTGGAGCTGAAATAAGTGAGAAACAGTACTATGGGATATAGATTTTAAGATGGTTTGAATGAGTTATAATGAAGTGAGTGCAGTTGTAGGAAAGAGGGGCTAACCAGGGTCAGTGACTTTCGTC